TGCATGCTAATACCTAATGTAAGGTAGCAGTGGGGATACTTGCCCAATGTATTCATTCAGGCAGGGACCAAAGTGAACAGAGGCACCATCTCAATACATGCTTCCAAAGCATAGAAAGGAAAGCCACACATATCACTTCTGTTCAATGTTCACAAATCTTTGGCAAAAGCAACTCAGACCAAAGCCTATATTCAAAAGGAGGATAGATGTATTAGTCCATTTTCATACTGCTACAAAGAAATACCTGAGACTGGGTAATTTATAAAGAAAAAGAGGTTTAATAGACTCAGAGTTTCACGTGGCCGGGAAGGTCTCACAATCATGGCAGAAAGCAAAAGAGGAGCAAAGGCATGTCTTACATGCTGGCAGGGAAGAGAGTGTGTGCAGGGGAACTGCCCTTTATAAAACCGTCAGCTCTTGTGAGACTTATTCACTATCAGGAGAATAGCATGGGAAAAACCACCCCTATGATTCAATTTCCTCCTACGGGGTCCCTCCCCATGACACGTGGGGATTATAGGAGCTACAATTCAAGATGAGATTTGGGTGGGGGCACAGCCAAACCATATCAGTAGAGATGTACAGTCCTACCACATGCCTGGAAAGCTACCTATTTCCAGTATTGAGGCAATAGTTTTACAAAATGTTTAATATTCCATATAGAGAAAACCTGAAATTATCAATAACAAAGTGAATAAATGAACAGTGGAAGAAAATCTTCTATTTTAATTAGAATCATAGATACTCATTTTCCCATTTGGGTCCCCTACTTACACATCAATCAATGAACAACTATAATAATAAGTGACAGAAATGGATTCTTACCCTGCCAGTACTGTGTGGGAGATGCTGGTATCCCGAGATCTAGTCTGGGAGCCCAGAAATGAAATGTTACTGACCATTGTAATACTAAAGGGAACTTGACCATGTTGTTCATAGACAGGAAGTTTTGCCTCTGCCCGTTTGACACAGCCATTCTGATGCCATTGTTTTATCCAGGGAGATATAGACAGCTATTTTGACACATCTACTTTGACATAATCTTGTCAAAACTGCAAAGGCCAGATGTAATAATATTTTTTATTGTTGTTAAAATATGTAACAGACATTTCTAACCTTCCAAAGCCTTCTTTAACACCAGTATACACTGTAGCAAATCAGAGCAGAATAAAAACATTATTTGTGTATTGTTTATTATGTAATAGTTATAAATTGTCACTGACCTTCATCCTATTATTGAATTTCTCTCCATTCTTTAATGTCAATTCCTCTCATGTGTTTGCTAGCACTTTCAAACATTCTCTACCCTCCTCATTCCATCCCAAAGTCAGCCCCTTCCTTGCTCCTCTTCACTGATGTTGTCTAGCCTCAGTATGTACAATCACTGAAAATTATTCATAATATATTTTTATCATCTGTAAATCCATGTTTTGCCGTGACAGGAGATTTTGTAAAATATTCATAATAATTGGTGCTCATTAAGTGTTGGACCAAAGATTGACAAAATAATTTCACAATTAACCCACAGGAATTTGAGAGCTACTCTTCTCAGATACTTACAGAGAGTTTTATTTTTGTATTCCCTCTTTACATTTTTGAGATTTTTCTATCACTTCTAACCTTTCCTTCTTTTGTAATGTATGTGTCCTTTATCTTTTCAATGTTAGACTGTGAGTTCCATCAACAAGCTCCCAAATGAAAATATCCCTTTTTAAATTTCGTTTGTTTCTTTTTTTTTTTTTTCTTAGATGGAGTCTTGCTCTGCCACCCAGGCTGGAGTGCAATGGCACAATCTTAGCTCACTGCAACCTCCACCTCCCAGGTTCAAGTGATTCTCCTTTCTCAGCCTATCAAGTAGCTGGGATTAGCACGTGCCACCACGCCTGGCTAGTTTTTGTATTTTTAGTAGAGATGGGGTTTCACCATATTGGCCATGCTGGTCTCGAACTCCTGACCTCGTGATCCACCCGCCTCGGCCTCCCAAAGTGCTGGGATTGCAGACATGAGCCACTACTCCCGGCCTGTTTGTTTGTTTCTAAAGTTGATAGATGCCTTGAACTAGGGGATCACTTATTATCATTATTTATTGACCTATTATGAAATGACTTAAGATGACATAAAAATAATGGAGCCTGACATTGTTCTTGATCGTGTATGTACGTGTGGCTGGTGAGTATGCACATAAGCAGCTCATAGATGGATAGATATACAGAGAGTAGACTCTTCCAACCAATTTTAAACTGGATGCAGTCTTTCAATTTTGTTGCCTTCTGAGACTTTAAATGTACATTTTAGTTGATAATAAAGCATCTTTATTATTTTAAAAAGGCGCTAAAAGAGTGGGATGGTGGTCAGAGGTAAGTATCAGAAATGCACATTTCAAAACATTACCTAATAATGAATAACAGAGTTTTAAATAAGGGGAAAAAATAGCAGTGGGACAGAGGCCAGGAATGAAATGTACACCGCCTTTGTGTACATTACTCATAAGTATATAAATGAACTTAGTTAATTTGTTGTTATATGTTAAAATAAAGTCAAAATTTCTGCTTCAAACTGTCAAAATGTGGTTTATATTTCCCAAGATTGTATACCTGAATAACTATTCTATTTATTTCAAATGATCTGCAGACTAACCTCAATGTGCAATGCACTGTGCTTAAGCATTTTAGAATAGATTAGAAAAAAACACAGAACTTGACCTAAAGATCTCTCCAACTGAAAAGATAGGTATGGTAAGTACCAGTGAGGGCAGAGAGTCACTAGCCCTGGATGATGGCTCTTGGACTTCAGAGAGGGGAAAGCTAATTTAACAGACTTAGGCCGGTGATTTAGAAGTCCACGGTTTCAAAAAGAAATGCATATCCATTCTTACGTATGACTATCCTTTGGAGGTTGGACTTGGGTTCATCATTCCGAAAAATTTGAAAGCTGAAACCACCAGGCACGTTTAAGTGTGAATTCCCCCAATTTATTTTCTGAGCATGCAAAATTTGATCTTCAAAATATCAAATGTGTGCAGAAGACACTCTGTGCTGAGATGCACGCATCTGTTGAAGTGCCAACTGGTCTGGCTAAAGAAAGAACAGCTGCCTGAGTCTTCAGGCAGAGATGGGTTGGAGACATCTCAGCCTCCAAGGCTAGTTGACTTAAAACATGGTCGGTAAGAAGAAAAGCCTCACCCTTATCCTGTGCCTTCAGCATCTACATCTGTTTCCTAAGTTCTCAGTGAACAGCTTGCTCCTGTTTCTTCACAGAAAATGTAAATAATCAGCATTTTCCAAATAGCAGCTTCATGGTACCTGCCAAACAGAGGCCATGTATTTAGCATGTATTTACTAAGACAAGCTTTCTTCCCATCATGGGCCTGAACAGAGTGTTCTACTCTGCTAGGTAGACACCTGGAGATTAATGTTTCAATTGCATTGCCAGGTATGCTACTTTTTGCTGTTATTCTCTTGTATGTCATTGTCCAAAATGTGTATGTGTATATATATATATGTGTGTATATATATATATATGTGTATATATATATAAAACATGTTACGTAAGTAAAGGGTGAGTTGTGGAGAGAAAGAGTTCCAATAGATTCTATAATTACGTTTTCTATCTACTAGGTTTTATTAGGTTATAAAAGTGAGCTCCATAATTAAGATTCTGTGGTCATCCCTCTTAAGGACTCAGTATAATATTTGTTGAATATGGTTGAAGTTCACAATTTGTATCATGGAAATGCATCCTTGGAAAAGTATGTAAATAAAGTCATTCTAAACATCTTAATCCTAGGCAAAATTGTAAAGTAGGTTCATGTTTTATCTTCAATGATGTCTTTTTTCTCTAAATCCTTTCTTCATTAGATTCTAATTTTTTGAATTCCCACACCAGTGGGAAAACTAGTGCCTCCTGATGCCCCCATCCCTCCAGTCATAGGGGGGAAAAAAAAGCTACTCTGATAAATTCTCACATTCAGCAAGTTTACTAGTCCTAAACAACAATGGGAACACAATGGATTGCTTCTGTCAAGTTGCCTATAGTCTAGTGAGGGCAACAGATACGTAAACAACACCTCCTCTCTACAATTACAGCCTATACTAATCAGTCTTACAATAAAAGGAAGCTCAAGTTGTAGCTGGAATACATGGGGCATCAGTTACCCAGACTCTTTAGACAGAGTTCTGCAATTGGTGACAATTATTTTGAATCGTGACAAAAAGATGATATCAAAGCAAAAAAATGGGTTTATTCTAAGCAGAGGCAACAGCATGTGCACAGTCACAGAAATGAAAAAGGAGATGACCATCAGGAGTGTAACCCCTCCCAAGATGGGTTCACCTAAAGCCAGGTAGAGCCAACTGGAGCCCAAATCGCAGATTCTGACCTGTGGTTCTGGGCTCCACACACTACAGACAGGCCAGACACATAGTCCTGACCTCAGTCACTCTAACGCCCCGTAAGAGTTTTTTTGTCCTAGAAAATCCACAGATTCTTCATGCTCCACCTCACTGATTAAATTAAAATTAAGCCCACTATTAGCAGTCATTTGAATTCTTTGTATGATCAGCATATCAAAAATAGGAAAATTGAATAATGATACAAGAATAATAAACATTTCCGAGTACCACGTCAGGCACTGTTTATAGAATGTACACGTATTAACATTTTAATCCTCACGACCCGACAAAGTAGGTGTGTTGATTATCCATTTTGTGAGGCGTGAAGAGATGGTGCTGATAAGAGGTGTAACTGGCATACTGAGCCCGGCACCAACCTCCCACACCTCAGAGCACACATCATTTCTCTGCTTTGAGCTGAGGTTTCCAGGATCATATGCTTGGATGCTATTCACTGCCTGATCCCCAAATTCTAACTCTAGACTTCCTGATGGCAACAGAAGGAGCAAATATAGACTTCAGAACATTAGGTTTTATTCCTATTTTCAGAAATTAACCCACGCCGGCCTCACAATGTCCCTAGAGAGATATGTACCATTGTCCCATTTTGTAAATGGAAAACCACTGCAGGTTTCTAAGCAGGAGAGGAACAAAATCAAGTTTGCACTATGCAAAGATCATTCCAGCTACAGCGTACAGAATGGAATAAAGAGATGGAAGGGTGAATGTGAGGAGATGGGTTAAGAGGCTGTTGCAGTGAGGGGTGTGAGAGATGATGGTGGCTGGGCCCCAGGTGGTGGCAGTGAAAAGGAGAGAAATGAGCGTATTCAAGAGCCCTTTAGGAAGGGAACCCTCAGTTCATCCTCCAAACAGCAGCAAGATTTGGAAGGTAAGTCAGATAACAACTGTCCTCAATTTAAATCCTTTCAAAGGCTTCCTGGTGCCCTTGGGATGAAATCTGGAATCATTTCCAACAAGACTGTCTCCGGGACTCTCTGGTGTCTACATTGCCAGCCCCTGGCTCTCTGTTTCCATGTTTTTCATGTGTTAGTTCTTCTGCCTGAAGCCCTCTTCTGACAACTTCCACACTGAGGGCTCCTCCTTGTTTTTTAAGCCTCAGCTTAAATATACCCTCCTCCCAGCAAACTTCCTGGACCATCCCATCTATGTAAGTACCATAGTATTGCCTACCTCAATGCCTTATCCTTTCCTTTCTCAGGCCTTAGAGCAATTTTTCATCATTTGTCTGTTTCTCATTTACTACCTATTGTTTGTCATGAGAAAAGTAAGATCATGTGAGCAGGAGACCTATCTGCCTTGTTCATCTAGCACAGTGCCTGCCCTGCCATGTAGGGAGTTCTCAGTAAATAAACTTACCAAATTCACAAAGCAATATGTATGGACAGCTTGGGAAGCTTCCATTTTCTAGCAGGCAGAGTTGGCTGGGTGATGGTGACCTTCTCCAAAGATGAGGTTTGGTGGAAAATAGTCAGATTTTAGGTCCAGAAGCTATGTGTTAAACATCCCTGAGATTTTTCCAAGAAGCTAACAAGATGAAATGGCCTATAAATTTTCAGACAACATGTACAGCTTGCTAAATAGTCTTTTTACTGTATTGTCTGTTATACCCATATTTTTGTTTCAATTTCTTAAAAGTTGCCAGCACCATGAAAAGCCGCCATATTAACTAGATGATCAAAATAGCAAAAGGTCAAATTGAGCTGCATTTTGATTACCAAGGAGATTTTTCTGATTACTAAGGGAGAGACCCTAAGGGATAGATACAGTTTTAATTAGTTATTAAATTATTTCCTTTTACATTCTGGAGAACTTTCTATTTGAAATCCCACTTCCAGTGATTAATCTTTATCATTCTCCATAGAAGCCAATGTTTAGAAAATTGTATAATCCCTATATTCTAACTCAGGAAATTGAAGCAGGATGAGATTACCCTGGCCAAGAAAGAGAGTGATTTTATGGCTGAGTTGGTTTCAAATTCAGACTATATCCCAGGCTTTCAACACTCTACTAATGAACTGTGTACTATTTTCATTTCTGTTTGCTTACATGAGTATTCACCAAGCCACCAGCACCATGTAAGATTAGTATACAAGCTACAAAGTCTTCTCAAATTGCTAACACCAGACATAGTTCAGACTTTAAATACCAGGAAGCAACTGGGAACAGCTGCTTTTGAATCAGACATAAATCTAAGCAATGCTGCAATATAGCAAAAGGGGAAAAAAGACCTTGTCTCATTAAATAGCTAACAGGAGAGTGTATCTGATAGTAAAATCTTGGCAGAACATAAAATACCTGTTTACTGCCAAAATCTAGTCACACAACATTAAGGTTACCTATTTAAGCACAGAGCACTGGCTTCTCATCATATATAATTCTATCAAGGAGTCTCCCTCATTGCCTTTAGAGTGGGTAAAAACATGACTGCCAAGATAACCAGGACCCATCCTCACAGGAATTTATAGATAAAAATTAATTTCTCAAACGGTGTCCAAAAGCAAATCAGTGACTAATGGAGACTATCGAGCAAAAGCATAACCAATCTCCTGGAGCCTGTAGCAGCCAAAGCTTTTGAATAATTTTCCAGGGCAGCTTCTTAGTGGAGAACATAGACAAAATCCCATCTGGGTGTTATCAACAGGAACTATACAAACATGGTCTGTGTATTTTTTTTTCTTCTTTTTCACGGCCCTCCTCCAATTATTGTATTTGGGTGTCTTCAGTTTGTTATAGCACAACCAACTCATGACCAGAAAAAAAAAAAAGTGTGTGTGTATGTATGTGTGCATATATATATGCATATATATGTGTGTGTGTGTGTAAAAAGCTATGTGCGTGTGTGTGTATGTGTGTGTGTGTGTGTATATATACACCCCTTTTTTTTTTAATTTTACACAGCCAAAAGATAATTTCAAGAACAATCCTGGGGAAAAATATCCCATGGGATATTTGTAATCAAGTAGCACATTTCTGATATAAATATTGCATAGGGACTGCCATGAAAATAACCCATTAAGTAAAATATTCCAAAATCGAATCTAATAAAGCTGGATAGAAAAATCCATTCTTCTGCTTTGGCATTGAATGTATAATAAAACTAGGGAAATGTTCGTATGCCATTAAACTCGACAAGCCCAGGGTAATCCAGAACATTCACAGAAAAGCACAGTAAGAAATGGGAAAATGAAAGGGTGATAGCATTCTGCCATGGCCACGACTAATAGATCTACCTTCAAATAAAAGAAAAAGAAAATCAATTCAGTTAGAAAGATGTCAGGATGGAGCAATTATTCATGGCTAATTACTTCTTAAAAGATGATGACAATGGGTTAGTTTTCCCTGATATTGATGAAGGAAAACCTTTGGGGAAATCATTTGCAAAGGTTAGCAAGGATATGAATTATTCTCTAGTATGTTGGAAGGCAAAGAAGAGGGAAGAATAAGTAAAATACTAGTACAGCCTAGTGAAGGTCATCAAGACAACTGAGCTGATACTATGAATTACCGTTTTCTAAAATCCAAACCTGTCATCAATGTGTCTCACAGTGAATTATTTCCTAGAAAAGATGATTTGTTATGAAATGTTCAGTAACTCACCAGACAAATGACTTTAAATAATTGTATTCAGTAGTACATTGTGAAAGCCAAGATTAGATGTAGTTGTTCTACCTATAAATTAAGAATCCTTTTGAAGCAATTACTATAGCACAATTTTAATGTGTGTTCTTGGCTTTGGCCTTAGAAAAGTTGGTGGTGTGTTTAGTGACACCTGCTCACAGAATTCACCTAAAAAGAAAAAAAAAAATGGTGGTTTTTGCAGGCAGTCTTTGAATATAGGTTAATTATAGATTATAGCCTAGAGCTCTGATCAAAGACCATGCATATTTGTAAGAAATGAGCAGACTGTGGCATATTTGGTCCATTCATTTTCATCATCAAAAGCACCTATAACTAACAAGAGGAGATGCATATCAAAGAAAGCCTTTCCCCTTGGTATGGTGAAGCAGGAGCTGCCTACTGTACACCAAGATTTTAAAGCAACCCCTATTTAAACTCTCTCTCCAAAATACATACACTGTTGGCTCTCTGTAGCCATGGGATCCACATCTGTGGCCGCAACCCACTACGTATTGAAAATATTCAGGAAAAACACAGACGGTTGTGTCTGTAATAAACATGTATAAATTTTTTTCTTGTAATTATTCCCTAAACAATGCAAAAGAACAACTATTTACATAGCCTTTACATTGTATTAGGTCTTATAGATAATCTAAAGATGATTTAAAGTGTATGGGAGGATGTGAGCATGTTATATGAAAATACTACACCATTTTATATAAGAGACTTGAGCATCTGTTGATTTTGGTATCCTCAGGGGATCCTGGAACCAATCCTCCATGGATACTGAAGGGCAACTGTATATGTATATAAATGGATTTGCATATACTAATGTGTATCTATGAGCTCATATTTAAGGCCATGTGTTACCCCCAGACAAAAAGACATGCCACTGAGAACCATTAATAATGGCTGATGTACAGACACACTTTGAGCAGAAAACATGTGTATATTTGCTCTTGTCTAAAGTGCAGTGAACAAAATAAAGATCATTAGCTAGTACTGTTTAGTCATCTAGTCTTTGACACTAAACTTGAGTCAGTTACTGAGACAACAGGGTTAATTCCCACTTGCACAGAAATTTATTTTTCCTGACTTGCTGAAATCACAGCTGCAAATCCTAGTTTGAAAACCAGTTAAATGATTTCATCTTTCATTGGGCATTTTACTAGTCTCCCTTCTCTCCTGTTATTTCCTACTACTTCAGGTTGACTAAGCAGTTCCCTGACCTTCCCAGCTAACCCCAGAACTCTGCAGCTTTCGCCTGAAGCAGTTTTAATTGTGTCAGTTCCTCTACCTGCAGTGCTGTCTCTCCCTGCTCTCCCTTATAGATCTCTTATAGACCAATACATACCTCTACTCTTGGTTACCATAGCTTATTTACACCTCATTTATCAAGCACAACCCAGGAAGCCTTCTCTGACTGCAGCAGCCCACAGTGAGCTCACCATTCTCTGGCAGTCCATACTGTCAGACTTCACATTCTCTTACTACCTCATGTGATTATTTGTCTTTAATAATTATGTCAGTTATAAACCACTTGAAAGCAGGCCAGTGCATAACACATCTCTGTGTCCTTAAAAATAATAGCATCATATCTCATTTATAGTAGGTGGTCACAATATATTTTGATTCATGAATGGATTGATTTTAAATGGCCTTCAATGTTTCTCCAGATTTTATGTGGGCAAATTAGCTTATAAGCAGATGGCATGCATATAAGCAATTGGATGAATTTCTGTTAACCATAACATACATGCCAAAATTCTACATCATGATGTTACTGGATAATAGAATTACTCTTAATTAAGTCAATAATATGAAAAACAAAATGTAGAAAACAGTCGTTATTATCTTAGCTAAAATTTGCCCTTGTTGAGATCATTGTTTAAGTTCAGAAATTCAGTGATCAAGAAAATGGTAACTCCAAGTTAATTTTCCTTTCATTGTTCTTATTTGAAAATGTTCATTCATTGCTTTTCAGAAAAGCCATTCAGAAAGAGGAAAAGTTGAAGACAGAAGCTGAATAAAGAAGTCTTTCAATGGAAGATACCTGCAATGAAACAACTCTTGCCTTCTTTTTAAAAACACTTCTAGAAATGGGGGGAAAAAATGAAGAAACAGATGGAGAAGGTGTCAGACTCTAACACTCTCAAGCCAGAATATAGAGTACAGTATAATGAAACAACAAAGTCCACTTGCTAAGTCTTAGCAAACATTTCTGAAAACATCCATTAGCCTCTTTTTCCTTTGAATAAGTGACTGTTCTGCCAGAGTGTTGCTTCTTAGCTGGACATTTTACTTCAACAAAGAGAAAGAAAACCCTCCTTTTACCATCTTAACAGAATCAAGACATTAATGGGATCAAATTTTCATGGTCCAGAAGGATTCCAATAACTGATTTTCTGTCCTCAGCTGTGTAAGGGAATTCACCATGTCTATTTGTTCATGCGTATTATAAACATTTTCAACATCTTTTGTGAAAATTTCATTATAACCAGCTAAGGGCATTGGTTTTTCAAACCTCTGGAAGTGTTAAGAAGAGTTTGGGTAGACTCTCTTCTGAATAAAAGAATGATTACTCTGATCGTTCTTCCTAAGGAATATTTTAAGATTATGAATGCATTGTATCATGTGCATTTAACTCAACTCTACTTTTTTATGAGCATCTAGTGGCTCTTAAAAACACAATAAAATTTGATCTAAAAGTCCACAAAAACTCAGATAAGAGAAAATTACCTATTTCTGAATCCTCTTTGGAGAATGTTTTAGAGAGTCTGAAAAAGGACATTGATGGATTCCTGCAGAAGGAAGTTTAAGAAGTAATAATATCTGAGCTGGGTGGAAAAAAAACAAAAAGATGCTGAAGTGTTTCCAGTGTATTCTGCTGATGCTTTAAGTTCTGCACTGTAGTAATTGGAATGGGATTTCATTACGAGAAGTTTTTACCCAATCACACCAACTGCATCCTTGTAAGAGTGATGGAGACTAAGCGTACCTGTGATGACCATTACCATAAGTCTCCAGGGAAACAACTCAGGAAGTTATCAAAGCTATAAAAGTATAGAGGAAAAGCATAACATGCTGCCAACAAGCCCAACACTCCAAAATACTTGAAGCTTTAAAATAAAATAAATAAATAACTTACAGAATTCCACCTAAACAATCATGAAGAAAAAAGAGGCTTTCTTTTGAAGATTTTAATACTACAAACAACACATTTCCCTTGAGAAATATTACTCATACTTCTTTTTTCTTCAAAGAATATACAGATTTAGTAAGATTGTCAAGTACAGTGCAGTTGAAAGTTTAAACAGTTAAAATTAGCCATCAAAGCAGATAATTCTTTCTATTATAAGTTATTTAAATATAAGAATTATTTGTGCTTCTTTTGTGTTTCTATTTCAGCTTCCAGAGGTGTGTGTCTAAATAATACTTGGACAAGACATTTAATAGAAATCTGTTACATACGATGGCAAAATTCTCAACTCCAAGCTCTACACCTGGGATGCACATTTTCCTTCTTGTCCAGAGCTGTCTTTGAAATTCGTAGGCTCTTCATGCAATGTGATAAGTGGTTTAAGGGCAAAAGGTGGCGTTAGCTGGTGGATCTTTTTTCTAGCCTTTTTAGTGGTCTTCAGGCCAACAATCTGAGAGGCAGTCTCCTGTTTTAAAGTTCCTGCTTAGTGAGGAAAGATGGAGTGCCCTAAATCTTTACTCCCATAGGCAAGGCGATGTGCAGACCAGTACAGCAGCCTCAAGCCTGCCTTCTTCAGAGCAGGACTTTCCCAGCTTCTGCCATATTTCCCTCAGGGCTTAACGGCATTGGTCAAGCCTAAACCACTCTGGTTCTAGCTAGAATTGACCAACAGCGGACCAAGAACATCTGGTTTGTACCTCCTAACTTGACTTACTATGTGAGGTAAGAAAACCGAAGTTAACTATTGCTAGCAGAGTCCAAAGACAAATGAGAGAACAAAGGTGAGAGAGGTAATTTTTAAAACTTCAACTAGCAGGTGGTTCTGAGTATTTATTTTATAGTAAATACAGCAGACTCCTGTTGTCTGCCTGACCCACATCTTCAGCAGATCCGAAGCTCTGCTCTTGATGGTCAAGGAAGGCAGAGGCCCTCTTCTCTCCCAGAAAAGAGAGAGAACCCTGCCTAAGGAAGAGGGAGGAGGACAAGGACAGATCTGTACATCCCTGGAACTCTCTGAGCCCAGAGTTCATTCCTTCTCCATTTTTAGAGTATTCTTCCTCTTTAAATATGCATATTCTATCCTCAGTTCCTTTGTTCCCACTCCAATAACTCTCCTCGGGAAAAGTCTGAACCCTTAGCTCCAATGATCAGGGAGGATTCAGTTTTTGTGAAGGCAGAAATTTACACAATTTTGAAAAAGAACGCAAAGTTGCCAATACGAAATTAGGTATGAAAGTGAAGGTTTACTAAGAATAAGAAAAGAAAACACAACACATTAGTGGGTAGGTCATGGCTGGTCCTAAGTGCTACCCACCAGGCCCCTTCTACCATCAGAGGATTTAGACCAGGGCTGCCACTGCTACCAAAACTACGACGCCTACCCTCACTCCCACTGTATTGATTTCCATTTTCACACAATTGTGCTTTAGAAAATTTCCCCTTTTGCAAATAAGGTGCCTAGTCAGTTGAGAGATTTAACTAATGCTTATGGGTCTTTTGTGCAATATTTCATTAAGCTGTTGCATATCCTGTTTGATAACTACAAAAGGAAATGAACACAGTTATTACAATTAAAAAAAAATCTTTCGGACATATCTTTATTTTCTTTTTTCCAAGGATTGTCTTTTATTTTACATACATTTCTAAATTACAACCACATGTAAAAATGAATTTTATTTTAAAGACTCACCATTGCTCTGTAAAATGCACATAGATTTGCAAGATAGATAAAACATAGACTACAAATTGCTCTCAGTAGTTAAAATTCAATTGCATTGATGAAATTATGGGAAAAGGTTCATTTTCTGGTGCTGTCTTTGGGGTTTTTTGAAATCCTGGGTGCTGGCTTACTCACTAATTTGGTAATTTGCAATAGGCTTCCCAGTCATTAGTGCAAATTAGCAAGGTTTAGCTATAATGTGAATATTAATATCTTCATTTAGAACCATTCCACGTGCTTTCTCCTGGTTTCTAAGGACAAGTTGTTTTTTGAAACCTTGGAGAATGGCTATACAAAATACATGAATATGATGTTTATGAAAAGGTATTTGGTAGCCAATGCATTATTTTTCATCTCATATGAATAAAATGTCAGTGACTTTGGTAATATTGTGTTTCCAAAGCCCCAAAGACTGACAGACAGCTTCATGCACATATTGTGCTATATTAAAGGAATATTGGTCCTTGGCTAGAAAGGATTTTCTAGCCCAGTCTGAGCAATAACCACTTGATCACACATCTCGCTGGAGTCTAAGCTCCTGATAGCAGAATATATGCCTCTCATTTGATGGCTCCAAGCCCTCACTCAGCATTCTGCACAGTCACTGGGGCTGTGTGCCTTCAGCTACATGACCTCTGGGGCATGTTGGAGAAATGTTGCCTTCTGTCCATGACCCTTTTAAGACCCTTTAATGTCTTCCAAAGTTGTCACCATGGCGCTCTCTTGCTTTCATAATTCTCCCTGACAACCACTCCTCCTCAATGCCTGCTTTCACTGTAGTGCTATAATTTAAGTGCATGCCACAGACTTCCACTGTCAGTGTATTTTTTCCTAATAGAACAACACTGGAATTTTTCTTACAAATACACCAAAACTACTAACTCACAGATTTCTTAAGGATAACCTTCTCAGCCTAGTACCTAGTCTTGCTTCGCCTGACTCAGGCCTCAGAGAATTCCAATGCTTTCTCCCCATTTCTTCCCTAAATGTGGCATTATTTCAATTTAACACTTGTAATCAATCAGCTTTCAGGCAAGAATGATCACATGAAACAATATCCTCATGAAAAAGAAAGATAAATTTACCAGCTGAGACCTCCAAACAAGACAGTAAGATGGATGGGGACATGAGAAATCAGAGTTCCTTATTTTTCTGAATTAAATCACCTTAAACTTATGGTTCTAATATTCCTGAAAGAATATTGAGGTTTAGATTTGAATCTCTGCTCTGACACATCTCAAAAACTCAGTTTCCCTTAATTATAAAATGAGGATAAATAATATGATCTCACAAGGCTATAGTAAGCCCTAGAAAGAACTATATGTAAAATACTTAGCACACAGCCTGGTGCATAGTTGAGCCTAAATAGATAGTGATGTTATTGTCTTAACTAAATGTATTATTTATGAGGTATGTGCCTGATTGTCCACTCTGGTCCTTACTGGGGCCCTAGGGTTGACTACTAGTAAAATACTCATTGACAAGGTTGGGCTCCTAATCCAAGAAGGATTCTGAGAGTAGCACGTGTACAAAGAGGCAGAGAGGCAAGCCAACTCTGGATTCTTTCAGAAATTCTAAGACTCAAAAAACAAGAGATTGTCCATACTGAATTCAAAGGGCCAAGTGCAGGAAATGTTAGGGACAAGATGTAAGAGTCGGGATGGACATGAAGTCAGAACAAGAACAGATGGGGCACAGGTGACAGCCATCCTGCACCTCAAATGCAGGTGCCCATTTGCAGCTCACTCCTCTCAGCCAGTGAACATGTGGCTCTTGCATAGGTAGGGCAGGTGTAAAGGGACCAAAATGGGACAGAGAACATAGAATATAAGTGATAAGAATGCTTTCAGCCTATTTTTTTAAATGCTGCATAAATACATTTCTAATACTACCACCTTTGGAAAATACCTGTCTTCAAAGCCTATCTACCTGAAAGACCACATTTTCTATAGACCAGCAGTTCTATTTCCTGAAAATCCCACACGTGCTACCCAAAGTCACATTCCCTGCTGTGCAGAGGCAGCCAACAGATCCAACAGCTGTGTACACTTGAACTGTGTGGCAAAATGACCCTGTTCGGGCAGAGGGCTCTGTAGAGCATCCCTCAGAATCGCCTCGGCATGCCCTTTCCAGCTGCAGTCAATCTGTCAACAGCCTTTATTGGGCACTTGTCCTCAGGGCTGTGGACAGTTGTGTGAACCGATGTGGGGTTCTCTCCAGGAGAGAATGAGATGTGACCTCCTCTACACAAATGTTTGGGCCACCCCTTCACATGGTTAAAGGCCCTTCTCCCCACCCTATCTCTTGCTATTATATGTCATAACTTTCCTACAGCCACCATCCTGATGCATCTGTAAATGTTTAATACTTTAACACAACATGCCTCCTCTTTAGACTCCTCATGCCTGTTCTTGAAATTCATTGAACTCTTTCCCCGCAAGTTATCACATACTTCCTGCTGGTCAATGTGCACCCACTTCAAAACTTAATTTTCAGTGTAGTGTTTAAGGGTTTAGTCTAGGGAAGGAAAAAAAAGGGAAAAAGAAAAAAGTGAAAATGTGAGCCTCATGAAAAGGGAAAATCAGAACAGATTGCAATAAAGCTAAACTGTCTATTCATTTGAATCAAATGCTATAAATTTCTAAGCATAATGTTTGACAGTAAACTGTCATCAAAGCAACAGACTCATTATAAAAATGCTAAGGGTATATAAATCTCATTGACTGCTTATCATTAACTGCACGGGGTGCTGATAGGAAATGCCTGGTTATAATTTACATTTCACTAATAAGGTCCATTTTAGAGTATAGCTGTCAAATCTATTACTCACCTTTCCCCAGTTTTATAGTTGTTCTGGACAGCACTGAAATTGAATGTTAAAAGTGTGGTTTCAAGCGTTATCTTTTCCTCTAATATCTCATCCTTGCATATTGAAGCATGCTTCACCTTTAATCAGAACTCAACAGCCAGATTGTTTTTCAGAAAGTAAACCAAAAGGTAGGGGGGGAGAAACATTCTTTTTAAAAGGCAAGATACAACAGAGTATTATTTGCCCACTTTCAAAATGTAAAAGGTAAAATGCAATTATAATATATCCCAATTATTTTTTCAACATGCTATCCATATTAATAATTTTGGGATGAGGGTTTTGGTGGTCTGGGGGAGTTGGCCGTAGTGACAAAAAGCTGCCAATAAGTTACTACCATGTGGCAGGCACAAGACTGGGTCCTTCCACTTAGGTCATTTTATTTATCTTAAAGCTGGTTCAAGGACTTCAAGAAGTTTAATCAAGAATTATACCATATATTCATAACCACCTAATAAGGAAAAAAGTCGTCATCCCACAAATGATGTGTACAGCAGGGTACATGTCCAAGGAAAATATTAACGCAAATACCAAAACAAAGCAACACAATGTTGAACTGCCAGCACACTTTAGGGTCCATATTCTTGATATGCAAAACACTGAAAAAGTCTCAGTAAACGTGGAGAGTAAGTTTTCATATTTTTGGAATGTGATAAATGGAGTTACACATTGGATCTCCAGTGCACCAGTTCTTGTTCACTAGACACTTCCAAGCTATCAAGAAATAGAAAGAAGAAGATTCCAGAATGTATCAAGCTTACGCATTAGGCAAGGATATAAATTGAAGGCCACAGTGGGAGTTGAGTTTTGACAAAATGTCAAATCAATGAAGAACAGGTTCAGAATAATGAAATCACAGAACTACTAGGTCAAGACCAGCTCTGAACTGAGGAGTTCAAGTGTGACAGGTCTAAGAAAAAGCCTGCTGGACTAGGAGTTGTTGTCCCCAGCCAGTTGGATTTGACTTTGAAATGCTTCCTTTTTGATGGCCATACCCTTTGTGCATTTATTGCAGTAGTACTTATGAGCTCTCCTAGACTCAAAAGATTGTAAATTTTAAGAATGAAGTCACTGAACGGCAATACCACTCCACAGTGGCACTATTCTCAGAGTCAGTGCCCTTGGAACTTCTGGTGTTTCTAAAAACTAATGCCACTGTCTAGAGGACAAGTGGAAACTATGTAACACCAAATTCAGCTCCAATGGGTCTGGGTTCCCAATCCTCCAACTAGATCATTCAGGTGAAAATCAACATGATAGATTATGGAGAAATTAGTTGTTTGTGTCATTGATGCTTAATGTTAGTATCCTACTACCACTCCCTCTGAACTCTGCTATAACTCTCCAGAAACTTCCCCTTAGGAAACAGCTCTTTAACCAGAAATTGTATAACTTCTACTAGATGCCCATCTTGCTGTTTTCGTAAATATTTTGAGAATTCTACATTTCCTCTTAAGATCTTGTTCCCTTTCCATTCTATGCAGCCAACTAGCATTCAGCTTGTCCTCTCTTTGGCCTGAGCCATAAATCCTTATCTACTCTGTCGCTTCTAGTCTCCCCTTCAGCCTTTTAGTGAGATGAAAAGAGCACTAGTGTATTTAGTCAACCTGAATGAAATCCTGCCTCAAACATCGCTAGATATTTAACTTGAAGGAAAGTCACTTAACCTCTCTGAGCCTTTTTCCTCGTTATTTAAATGAACGTGTAAAGCTGATCCAGTGTGCCCCTGTTCAAATGTGTTCAATAGTTCACAACTGCCACAGCAGTAATCTCAGCTCTTTTCCACTTACATTTGACATATTCTCAAGGGCACACCTAGCTTTTATAGTCACTCAAAGGAGGTTACAGCTAGGGTATTGGAGATGTGTAATCACTACTCTCCAACTGCCATTTGTTACAACATCTCCTATGATAAAAATCTCTTATAGAGTATAAAGGCTAAGTTCCTTTGCTTGGCAACCAAGGTTCTCCATAATCTGGCTGCCTCTGCCTGCCTCTGCCTGTCTGTG